CCCTGTCACAGCAGTGCCCACCTGGTGGGAAAACCAGAGCTGGCGGTGGTCACTGAACGGAATTCCGGGCGGGGAGCCCCAGCCCAGTCACACCTTCACTCGCGGTCTGCACACCCCAAGGCAGGAGGACCCTACCTAGAGGAGCGCGCCTCCCGCCCAGCCACTCTCTGGCCAACTTCCCGGGTGGTCATCTTAGGGCCTATGGCACCACCTGGTGGTCAGAGCTGGCATCGCACCCATGAGCCCATAGAAAACGGGACTGCCTGGGGCGTGTGGGGACGGGAAGTGGGGCACCCCACTTACCCACTGTGTCGATTGGCCTAAATGCCTTATGCAGTGGCGACTGGAGGGGGACTGGGACGCAGAGCTTGAATGAGCTGTCCTCTTCCTCCATTTCCTCTTCCTCCCCTTCCTCCTCGTCGGTTAAGTCTTCCTCGAGAGGCAGCTGAGGGTGTTTCGGGTCACTGAGCAGGTGAGAAGGGCCCCAGCCCGCAGCCCCACCTCCACATGAAACAGGAAGCAGCCGGAGCAGCTCCGGGAGGTGAAGGCAGGACTGCTCCCACTCCTGGGCCCCACCCCGGCCTCCCCCTGGCGGCCCCAGCTCGGCCCCACAGACCTTGGCCATGGCCAGTTTCTGAAACTGCTTGTACAAGGTGAGGATGTGGTTCCAGGGAGTGGCCCCCACCTTCAGAGAAGCCGGCCTGAGGTCTCCTGTGAAGGCAGTCACCCGACCGTCAGCTGGGTCAGCCGGCAACGGGGGTGGGCTCGGCCCAGCCGGGCAGGGACAGCTGGAGGTTGGGCTGCGGCGAGGCCGCCTGGTTTTCCTTAGCAAACACCTGCTATGCCCAGGCACAGTTCTGGGCACTTTACAAGGACATTTCATTTCATTCTTGCAACTACCTTCTGAGGCAGGAACTATCGCACTCTCTTTTTATAGAGGAAACGGGCACACAGAAAGGCCGAGCAGTCTGCTGCCACCACACAGCTTGGCACAGTGGAGTTGGGACCCTAGGCAGCCTGCCTCCAGCCTTCCCTTAGGCTGTGCCCTTCCCGGCCCAGCCCCAGTCCTGGAAAAAGAGGGCTGTTCCTGGCCCCGCCCCTGCCTGGCCCCGCCCCTGCCTGGCCCCGCCCCATCCCTGGCCCCGCCCCCGTGCCCACGCTCACTGTCCAGCAGCTGCTGCTCCTCCGCGGCAAGGGCCTCAGGGCTGACCTCCAGCGGCCCCGTGGCCCCCTGCTCCACCTCCAGGGCTTGGGCAAAGTGGTCCCTGATCCCAAAGCAGAGTCAGGTGGGGGTGGCAGGCGGGGCCCAGAGACTTGGTAAAGGCCCCGGACACCCCCACGTCCCCCAAGGCTCTCCCACAGGCCCTACTCAGCCCCTCCATCCTCCTGCTCCCAGCTCCCCGCTGGGCCCTCTGGGGCTTCATCCTGGAGGCGGGAGGGGGCGGGGGACCAGGAGGGGGGAGGGGGGGCAGGTGGAGTGGGAACGGTGGCACCGCCTCACCCCGCAGGCGCCTTTCCGGCCCCAGCAGGACCCCTTTCCTCTGGAGCCCCCATCCCCAACCCTCACTTGTGGGAGGACCCTCATCTCTGCTTCCTTCCACATCCCCAACACACCCCTCTGGTGCCTCCTAGCCCTGATGTTGTCCGTCCTGCCCACCCAGGTGCCCTGTCCAGTCCTCAACCCTCCAAGGACTCCCAGTCCTGGCACCCCACCCCACCCCCTCCCCCAGCTTCCATCCAGGCCTTATCCCAATTCCTCTGCCTCAGGCCCCTTCCCCCCACCACAGCCCAGCCCCTCACCTGTCTGGGGGCCCTGCCGCCTCCTCCTCCTCTTCCCTCTGCGCCTTCTCAGACAGGTTGTCCAGGACCTCCTGGCTTCCTCTGGGCAGCACCCACTTTACCTCTACACCCGGGGCCATGAGGCTCAAGACCTTCATGGAGGGGGTGGTCTGGGCCCTCATGCCCCCCAGCCCCGAGGACTCACGCTGTGGCAGGGCCTCAGAGGGGGTGCGATGCCCCTGGGCCGGCCGCCTGGGCTCCTGCCTCCCCGCTCGCCCCTGGCGGTCCATCATCAAGGACCCAGGGCGCGCCTCCTCTCCCAGCAGGGTCCCCTCGGAGCTCTTCCGGCCGCCCGTGCTCCCCACCAGGCTGCGGAAGAAGCGGACCATGGAGGAGTGGTCCAAATTTTGAGACTGAGGGGTTGGAGCTGGGCTCGCCATCCTGAGAGGGACCTTGACTCAGAGGGAGGGGCCGTAGCAGCCCCCCCAGGACCAACTGCTTAAGAACTGGAGGAGCTTTCAAATTAAAAGCTCCAGTTGGAAACTTCCAGGAGTTCTAGAAGGCAAAGGGCAGGCAGGCGGGAGGCGGGGAGTGATGGGGGGATGAGGGGGGGATTAGCTGGGGGCAGAGAGGGCTGGGGGTGGCTGAGGCAGGAAGGAGGCCTGGGGAGCCAGCCTGCGGGTGGTTGGTGAGGAGGCATGTGGGTGGGGAGTGGGCAGAGGGGGCTTGGGGAACCCGGGCCCTGAGGAGTGGGCAAGGGGTCTGGAGGACTCGGCACACCCTCTCTGCACCTGCTGGCCCTTCCCTGGGTGGCCAGAGGGCCCGCCCTTCTCTCCCCTCCAGACACTCGGTTCACTTGGGTCCAGGGGGGCGCACAGACCCCCCCTTGTTTTGTTTTGTTTCCCCCAGAGAATTCCTTCATTGAAACTTTCATTAAGTTTTATCGTGAAACTGGACATACATGATGGAAAATACATACCCATTACATGTCCTTCAGTGGTATTGCTCTATAGGGTACTGCTAATTCCAGGGGACCCTCCAGTATTGGAATTCGATGGCAGGGCTCATTTCTGTCCTTCAAACAGTGCCCGTTTTCCATTTGTTGGTAGGAAATGACGGGTTTTTTGTTTTGTTTTGTTTTGTTTTTATTTATTTATTTTTAAAATATATTTTATTGATTTTTTACAGAGAGGAAGGGAGAGTTAGAAACATTGATGCGAGAGAAACATCGACCAGCTGCTTCCTGCACACCACCTACTGGGGATGTGCCCGCAACCAAGGTACATGCCCTTGACCGGAATCAAACCCGGGACCCTTCAGTCCATAGGCCGACGCTCTATCCACTGAGCCAAACCAGTCAGGGCTTTGTTTTGTTTTTAATATATTTTTATTGATTTTAGAGAGGAAAGGAAAGGAGAGATAGGAACATCAATGATGAGAGAGGATCATTGATTGGCTGCCTCCTGCATGCCCTCCACTGGAGATCGAGAGTGCAACCCGGGCATGTGCCCTGAACGGGAATCGAACCCTGACCTCCTGGTTCATAGGTCAACACTCAACCATGGGCCATGCCCGGCCAGGTGGAAATGACGTTTTTATATATTTTGAACCAGCCCGTGCACTTTCAACTCCACACCAAGGTGCATGCATCTCAATCACTGATTTTTCATCAGGTATTGACTTCTGAACTCCCCCAGGGGCTCAGTGTTCAGTGAGCAGCACTGAGTCCCATGGAGACCCACACAGGGGACAGTCGGTGCTGCCAGTTCCATCAAACAACTGCGCTGCTCCACCCACACCCCCAGCTAGCTCTATTACGTGCAAAAAGTCAGCCGGAGCTGGTGTGGCTCAGTGGATAGAGCGGTCGGCCTGCAGATTGAAGGCCCCCTGGTTCCATTCTGGTCAAGGGCACACGCCCCGGTTGTGGGCTCATCCCCAGTAGGGGGCGTGCAGGAGGCAGTAGAACAATGATTCTCTCTCATCATTGATGTTTCTATTTCTCTCTCCCTTCCTCTATGAAATCAATAAAATATATTTTTTTAAAAATTCAGCATGTTAGTTTCAACAGTGAAGAAACATTGGTAATTTTGTCCTGAAGTTCAAACAGTTTTTCAAAATATTTGAGCTGAGTATCTTTGGGACAAAACTGCAGTCGGTCAAAATTGAGTCCACATTCCCCTTTTGCTACAACTTTCCCCTCTTGTTTTCAGCAAGATTTAGCGACTCCATTAAGTAAATATCGGGGTTATTCTTTTCAAATTCATCACATCTTGAAGGGTGACATCCAATTGTATTGAAAAAGATTTTAGCCCTAACCGTTTGGCTCAGTGGATAGAGCATCAGCCTGCGGACTGAAGGGTCCCAGGTTCGATTCTGGTCAAGGGCATGCACCTTGGTTGCGGGCATATCCCCAGTAGGTGGTGTGCAGGAGGCAGCTGATTGATGTTTCTCTCTCATTAATGTTTCTAACTCTCTATCCCCTCCCTTCCTCTCTGTAAAAAATCATTAAAATTTTTTTTTAAAAAAAGAAAAGCAGAGATCTGCCCAACATTACTTTAAAAAACAACAACATTTCATCTGTTGTGCCAAATGCGGTGCATCTTTTCCGCCTGGAATCATAAACTCCCACTCCACACCCTGTATGACACCCTGGTCATCGTGGTGCTTTGGGAGACTGCCCCCCAAATCCCTCTGAGCAGAGAGGCTCCGTATAAACTTGAAGCGACTCATAACTGCGGTGCCCAGTTGTCCCTGGCGGAAGCGGAAGTCCCTCACTGTGGTTTCATCTGCTCACCTGCCTGTCCCCTTCGGGTTTCTAGTCCCAGAGACCACGGAAGTGCCTGGTACCTAGTTGCACGTTGAATCTCAATTTAGTATTGTTTTCCCCGGGCACCTCCAGACTCGATTATAAGGCAACTCGGTGACTTCCGGAGAGCTCCTTAAACAGCTGAGCCTCAGTTGGCTCATCTGTACAGTGGGTGTATGGATGGCACTACTTCCAAGTGTTGTTGAGAAGATTCAATGAGAAGATTCACGGGCTAAACTGCAAAAGAAACATCACCATCCTGATTTTTTTCGTTGGTATTGACTGATGGGAGGGAGAAAAGATCAAGGGTCAGGGGTGGGAAAAGCAGCGGGGAGGAGGAGCCGCTCGCGGTGGGGGCTGCCGATGGAGGGGCGAGCGCAGACCGCCCCGCCGGGAGGCCGCACATCCGCATCCGGCGGCTGCAGGGCAACTTCCTCTAGAGGGAGCTGATTGGAGCCGGGAGCTGCCGGCTCCTCCACGCTCGCTCCCGGAGCCTGTTGGTGCCGAGGCGGGGACCCGCGGAGACAGCATCGGACACCAGGAATTCACTGACAGCCGCTCCGCGAAGCCGGGCCTGGGCAGCGAACCGTGGAGCAGCCCCTCGGGACCTCCAGCCTCGGCCCCACGGAGCCATCCCTGGCCTAGGCCGGGGTCTGGGTAGGTAAGCCGGCAGGTCCGGCCCATCCTCTCCGATCGATCGAGGCAGCACCAGGCCCAGGGTGGGGCAGGGAGAGCGCTGGGAGCGGGGTGGGGAGGGGGAGGCTTTGCCGGAGCAGCTTCGATAACGCCCGCGGGGGGCCTGATCCGGCCAGGGCTGCCTCTGGCTGCCCCTCATGCCCTGGCCCTGGCCGCCTGAGACTCGGGGGCGAAGGACCGAGCATTTTAGCAGACTGGGCGGCCGGAGTGGAGGTCAGAGTCAAGGTCAAGGCTGGGGGAACTCTAACGGCGCTTCCTGCTGCCCAGGAGCCCTCGACTGGGTCTGCAGCCCCGCCGGGCACTTCCCCTGGGGGACATCCTGGGCTCAGCGAACCCGGTAGATGGGGTGCGGGGACTCGCCTTACCAGGAAGTCATGCCTCTTGGACGGGCAGGGGTAGGCTATGGTCGGCAGAGGCCTCTGGTCCTGGGGCTGTGCGGCGGCTCCACCCGCTCCAGCAGGGAGCTCTGGGGCGGAGGGAGCGGGAGGTGCAGGTGCAGGCAGCATCCTCTGGCCCTGCTGTCCTGGGCTGCCGGGTTGGGGCACCAGGGGAGAGGCAAGGGCATCTTCTTCCAGGAGGAGCTGGAAGTGGGGGTGCTAGGCAAAGGCCTATTTTGAGAGGCACCTGGGGATGGAGGAGGGAGGGTCTGCCTTCTCCCCTGCCCTGCCCTGAGAAAGGAGAGGCGGAGAGCCCTACAAAAATAGCCCAGGCCTGAGAGAAGGGAGGCCAGAGGGTACATGGGCCCCCCAGGGAGGAGGGCGGCTCTGCCTGGCCCAGGGTGGGGCTTTACCCTATCGGGGGATGGAGGGAGGGTGGGGGGAGGGGGGTGTGGGGAAATGCTTGGTGTGCGGGGGAAATGGAGGGGTGCAAATTGAAAGTGAAACAGCTCACGTCCTGGAACTACTCCCTCTGTTTAGGGTTCATAGCAGATCAGGCCACCCTGCTGGGCAGGGAAACTGGGCTGGGCAGGAGAGCAAGCGTGGGGTGAGGGGGCGCCCGCGGAAGGCAGGGGGGCTGTGCTGGAGGCCTGGCTGCAAGGCAGGAATGCAGGGCACAGGCCAGGCCTAACCAGGGAGAGATGCCTGGAAGGAACACCCTCCGAGACCCACAACCTGGAAAGTAAATCTTAAGTGTGTTGACATATGGGCTTGAGATTAGGTGGCCAACCTGACTCCCTGACTAGCTCTGTGGCCGTGGGCACTCACCTCCGCGGGCCTCACCTGCCACCTGTGGAAGGGTATGACGATGCCTGCCTTGCGGGGTGAATGTGCCATTTCAGTGTCCGGCACCCCCAGCGGGAGTTCACAGCTGGGAGTAGTACACCATCGGCGTTTGTGGCCAACGGGGCTGAGCTGGAAGGCAGGTGTGTTCTGACCAGCCAAGGGCAAGTGGGACCTTCGAGGTCCTTGGCTGGAAGGTGGCGAGCCTGCGGTGGCCCTGCGGCCCTGGGCCCCTGTGCGGGGCTCCAGGACGGAGCTGAAATCGACTTGAGAAGCACTAGGGTCTGCTGCGGCCACCCTCCCGGGGCCCTGGACGCCGGGGGCAGGTCCCTGCATGTGGTCTTGGCTGCTTTGCTTTTCTCACCCCTGGGCTTCCCTGAAGAGTGGCCAGTGAAATGCAAGTGGCTGGAGCTCAGACTGGGGTTGGGGAGTCGGGTGTTGGGGCCACTTGACTCCTGTGTGGCTGTGGAACGTCTGGTCTGTGGCCCCTGCTTGTCCCCATCTTTGCTTTTCCTCACCATCCCCACAGGCTAACACTGCTCTCCCCTGGGACCTGAAAAATGGCATCTGGGCAAGGACCAGGCCCTCCCAGGCAGGACTGTGAAGGGCCTGCCCCGGCCTCCACTTCGGGTAAGGGTCCTTCTGCCCCTCGCGCACCCCATACCATCAGGGCGGCGGTGAGGTCAGAGGGCGGGCGGGGACGGGACCAGGAAGGGAACTCACCTTGGACAGGGAGAAATGATCCCCACCCATTGCAGTGACCTGCTGGGCCAGTGATCCCGGGAAGCCCTGGAGCTGGGAGGGGCCGGGCCTGGGTTGCAGAGGTGGGAGGGGCTGGGAGTGAGCGGGCCCTGGGACGGTGCCATCCCAGTGCCAGGGGCGGGATGGGCGAGAAGGAAGAGTGGGCGTGGCTGGCCTGTCCCTGCAGGAGGAGAAATGAGGAAGTAGATGGCTTATCACACGGGGAAAACGATGGCACCTTTGGGAGGAAGTAAGATGGCTGCCCTTCCCTCTTCCCCGGGGACCTCGGGAAGCCTGCAGCTGTTCCCTGGACTTTGGGCTCAGCCCCAGGTCTGTCACTATGTCCCTGTCTGACGTATGGCCCCACGATCCCTAAGCCATAGGGCTGGGCTTGTCACACTGAACTCGGGGCCCTAATGCCCGGGTTCTCCTGGCCCCGCTGCGCACTCTGGCTGTGGGACCTTGTGCCAGTGACCGCCCTCCCGGCCTCAGGCCGCATTCCCGCCTGCCAGTGGGAACCGCCTACCTCCCAAGGCTATTGTGTGGACTAGGTGGAAAGCACTGGGGGTGGACTCGGGGCTGCAGCGGGGAGCCTGCTGCCCGGGGTGAGGACAGCGGTGACCTTGAGGAAGAGTAACCATCCCCAAGGCTGGGGCTGCCCGATCCGGCCTTCCTCCCTGACTCCTGGCTTTGATCCTCAGAGGAGCAGGTGGCCCGGGACACAGAGGAGGTTTTCCGCAGCTACGTTTTTTACCGCCATCAGCAGGAGCAGGAAGCTGAGGCGGCTGCCCCCCCTGACCCAGAGATGGTCACCTTGTCCCCAGAGCCTGACAGGTGAGCAGAGCCCCACGGGGACACCTCAGGGAGGCGGATGCTCACATGGGTCACCATGGAGGTCCTGGGAGCTGGGGGGCTCTGTGAGGGGCCTTTTGCCCTTCTTTCTTTGTGGCTCCTTATTCATCTTGGGCTCCCCCCAACCCCGCCCAGGGGCATCTTGTCCCTGGGCCGAGCCCAGCCCTCGAATCTGAGAACACTGTGGGGGCCTCTGGGGAGGGATGCAGGCCGGGGCACCCCGGGCAGAAGGCCTAGCCGGGAGCCTGGGCCGGGCCCTGACAGCTGTCCCTCCCTCCCCGTTGCCTCCCGCGCCTCCAGCACCTTGGGGCAGGTGGGCCGGCAGCTCGCCATCATCGGGGACGACATCAACCAGCGCTTCGACTTGGAGTTCCACACCATGTTGCAGCACCTGCAGCCGACCCCAGAGAACGCCTACCAGTACTTCACCAAGATTGCCTCCAGGTAGGCCCTGCCTCTGCCCGCACCCCGCGCCGCGCCCTGCCCCTGGGGGACACACTTCTCTGTCAGTGTCGGGAGGCCTGTTTGCTTCCCCATGTCTGCTGTTAATTCCCGTGTGGCCTCGGCCCGTCTTTGCTTGCTGGGTCCCGGACTCCTCATCTCCGGAGCGTGAGCACTTGACCGTTTAGATCAGGATTGTGGATGGGCCCGGGTGGGGAGGTGCCCAGAGCCGCCCTGCCCAGCCAGGAAACAGCTGTCCTTCTGATTTAGAGCCACATTTCACACCAAAGACAGTAAGGTTGCCGCCTGCTACCAGGTCCGGGAATAAGCAGTTGGTGCAGTGGTTAGAGACCACATGCCTGGTCATGGCGTGGCTTTGCCACTTGCTGTCTTTTGAACTGCCTGGCCCTCCGTCTCCTCGTCCATAAAATGGAGAGGGCCGCTCAGGACGGGGTCCGCACGCACAGGTGTTAGCCGGGGTGAGAGCAGGGGGAGCAGTAGGCTTAGGCTTAGGGTTAGGCTTAGGGTTCGGGTTCGTGCTCAGCTGGAGCCCTGCCCAGGCCCTCAGAGGCCAGCCCCACCCGTGTGGTTCCAGGATTTGTCCTAACCTCCTCTTCTGTCCTTTTCTCTCTGCTGTCCCTCGGCTGCCAGGCCAGCAGCAATGCCCACAGGTAATCTCCCTGCTGCCTCTGTCCACTGCTCTGCCCTGTGCCCCCTGCGCCCGCAGCACCGGGCCCCCGGTGGTGGTGGCGGCGGCGGCAGTCCCATCCTGTGCCCTCTGAGCTTTCTCCTTTCACAGAGTTGCAGGCTCTCCCCAAACAGCAGCCAGGCGGGCACCTCTGCCACCTTGACTCACTGCTAAGCCGTGCTGCTTTCCTGCTGGGGGCGGTGGGGGGGACGGGGGGGGGGGTCAGCCCCCTGGGCTCCCACTGATGGCCCGTGCTCTGCCCGCAGCCTGTTTGAGAGCGGCATCAACTGGGGCCGGGTGGTGGCTCTCCTGGGCTTCGGCTACCGCCTGGCCCTCCACGTCTACCAGCGAGGCCTGACCGGCTTCCTGGGCCAGGTGACCCGCTTCGTGGCCGACTTCATTCTGCATCACTGCATCGCCCGGTGGATCGCGCAGCGGGGCGGCTGGGTGAGTGCCCAGCGCTGGCAGCCTCCTGTGCTGCTGGGCTGCCCCCTTCACCCCCCACCCCCCCAGTCCCTCGGTGCCTGTATCCACTGCCAGCCCCTCTGACACCCCCCCTCCCCCCGTCTCCTGGCAGGTGGCAGCCCTGGACCTGGGCAACGGCCCCATCCGGAATGTGCTGATAGTTCTGGCTGTGGTTCTGTTGGGCCAGTTTGTGGTACGAAGATTCTTCCAGTCATGACCCCAGGAGGGGTCCTTTGGGGTCCCAGCTGAGACTCCCCGCCTGGACTTCGGCCAAGCCTTCTTCCCTTACCCGTCCCCTGCAGGGGTCCCCCCTCAAGGGTACAGAAGCTTTAGCAAGTGGCACTTCAGCTTTGAAGGGCCCCTGCTCGGGGTCGGTCAGGCCTCGGGGCACCCCAACATTGCATGGTGCTAATGGACCCCCTCTCTGGGCTCAGCTCTCTCTGCCGGGCTTTGGGGAGGTTAATAACTTGGGGAAGCAAGAAGCTGGGAGGCACTTTTCCCCAAGAAGTTTTTAATGGTTTTAGCTTTTTATAACGCCCTTAGGACACCTCCACCTCTTGTCCCCACCACTCTGCCACAGGCCAGGACATGGGATATGGGGGTTAGTAGGCCTATCCTGTACCCCGGATTCAGCTGTTCTGGAAGGTCAGAGCTTGAGAGCTGACCTGGAGCCCAGTCCTAGCCCTTCCAAAGCTTCATGTCCCCAATAGGGCTGGCCGGGGTTGGGAGACAAGGACCTACTTAACCCCCCCCACCCCACCTATATGGCCTTGGCCGGCAGACTCTCAGGGATTAGGGCCCGGGGTGTGGGGTGAGGAGGCACACCAAGCTGTCTGGCTTTATCCACCAGGCCCCTCCCAACCTGCCTCCTGAGGTCCTCAGCCCTTTCCCTTCCCCTCGCCACTTGCTCTGAGGCGTCACTACTTGAGAAGGCTGCCTGCCCCCATCACTCCATGCCAGGGGGGCAGGGGCCTCCTTGCACAGACGCTAGGGTTTAGGACTGTGGTTTGTGATGGTCAGGGAAAGGGGTAGGGAGCTCATCTTGAGGTTTCTGAGAGAAGGGCTATTAACATCACCAGAAACCCCAAGGGTGGGATCCGCTCTCATGGCCTGGGCGCAGTGTAATCTGGGAGAACTGAATACTTGAACTTTACCCCAAGCCCACCATCTGCCTAAGCCCCTCCTGGGGGTGGGGTGGGGGTGGGGGTGGGGGTGGGGGGCCTTGTCTATCTTATACAGCCTGGGGATTTGGGAAGAGAAGTGGTTGGTTTAGCCAAATGCAGGGGAGAAGCAGACGGAGCCCCCTGGCCACCCCACCTCTGAGAGTGTCGGGCAATAAACTGCCTCCCCCTCCCACTGGGAATTGTCGCCTCTGTCAGTCCTCTTTCCCTCTGGGTGGGTGAGGGAGCCTGGGCAGGCCTGGCATTCACCTGGCCTACTGCTGAATAAGGTCTCTTGGGTTTCCGGATCCTATAGAGGCCGCTTGGTTCTCCAGCCCTGGGCGGCCTTGGCCCCTCCCCACCCATCTCCGCGTCCTTGGCGTCTCCTGCCCCCGTGAACGTGGCGGACCCTGAAGCACGGGGCTCTGGCTGCAGCGCTGGTGGAGCAGTGCACACGCCGGGGACCCCACGGCCACCTCAGGCCTGGCTGAGTTCCTCTCCTTTCCTGGGGCCACCACCCACGCTTGGCTCCCGCCTGGGACACCGTGTCCCAGCTTCCGCTTCCCTGTGTCCCCCACAGCTAGCACACAGCTTTTCATTCTAGCAGCTTCGTGCTGCAGGGGAGTCCCCGTGGGGAGGCAGCCAGGGCGATAAAAATAACAGGCCTGGGGGCGTGTAAGTGTTCCAGTGTGAACAGCCTGCGGGTCCTGCATCCTGGTCTGTTTCTGACACCCTCCAATGGTCACATGCGCCCCAAAGAACCCGGGGCCTCGCTTCCATTCCTGAGGGGGTCTTGCCAGCCCCCTGTCCCTCCAACTTGGCCTCAGCCCGAGCAGAGGCCGGGCCGGTGGTGGCTCCAAGGCACCCGCAATCCGCAGGAAAAGCCCGCGAACACTCCAGCCACACCCATCAGGCACAGCCAGTGACCTGGCGGGAGGCGGCTCAAACCCCCCTTTACAGACAGGAAAACTGAGGGCCTGCTCGGGCAGCGAAGGGCGGAGCCAGCACTTGCCACCTTGACACTGGTTCCAGGTTTTACACGGAGCCGGAGGGTTGGACACAGGCCCGCCGAGGGGGAGATGGGGAGGGGGTGTCGGTCTCCATCAGCCCCTGCAGAGGTCGGGAACCCCCAGACTGCCCACGTCCAAGATGGCCACGGCGGCTTCGAGCTCCCGGCTGCCCGCTCCTGGGCGGAGCCTCCGGGCGCACCTCCCCCTCCCTCCCCTGTTGCGTTTTTTGTTGGTAACCCTCACCTGAGGATACCCTTTCCATTGATTTTTTTAGAGAGAGTGGAAAGGAGGAGGAGAGACAGAGAGAAACAGCGATGTGAGAGAGACACGTCCATGGTTGCCTCCCGCACACGCCTGACCAGGGCAGAGGATCAATTCTTGGCCAGAATCGAACCTGGGACCCTTCAGTCCACAGGTCGACGCTCTATTCACTGAGCAAAACCAGCCAGGCCCCGCAGGGTTTGCAGACCGGAGGGCAGCACTGGAGAGCAGGCGCCTGGGAGGCTGCGAGAAGGGCGGGGGCAGTGGCGGGGCTTGGGGCTCTGCTGTCAGGAAGGAGTTGGGGCGCTGTCCTAGAAGGCCAGGGGCCCCCGAAGGTCTGGGCCCCTCTATGCACCCTCTTCTGCTGCCAGGAGGAAGCTTCCAAAACCCATATCCCGGCAGCCTGGGGACCTGAGACCTGGGCCTGAGGAGTCAGCAGGGGGCGCTGTGGGCTACAGGGAGCCCGGGGTTCTGCAGGTAATGAGGAAGGTAAATTCTCACAATAGCCTTCATGTCCGTGGTTCTGAGACTGAGCTTCATTTCCCCGCAGAGGCCTGGGTTCCTCCCCTGGTGCCGCTGCGCGGTCCGGCCAGCCTGGGGCAGGAGCAGTTCGGTTCAGAGCCCTGCCTGCCTGTCCCCGCGGCCGGCTCCGCCCCGCCCCGCACCACCTGCGCGTTTGCTGTCTCACCTCCTCTGAAGAGTGAATGTTAAGGTCACTGGATATGCAAACTCTTTAATTCAAGAAAATCCTATTTTGCCAAAACCACTTAGTACATTGTTTGAATAAGTTTTTATTACCTAGCCATCTGAGTAGCATTAAAATAAATTAAAATTAATTTATTAGGTAATTAAAGCCATGAAACCACCATGTCATGCCCCAGTTGTACACACCTCAAATGCAAAGGTCCTTGATCATACGCTTGTAAAATATGGGGTCAATCTAAGAACAGGTGTTCATAATCTCATGTGTGTGTTGGGGGAGAGGGGGCAGACAGAGAGAGACAGAGAATGGAGTTACCAGAGACTGCCGGAGATCAGGGACCAAGATCAGCAGAACCCAGCTTCTGGGGCATGTTCCCCACGCTGGACATGCTAGGAACGTCAGACTACTGGGTGTAAAGGATGGGGCATTCTGCCTGCCAGACAATAAGGGGACAAGAGGTGGTGATCGGCCCACGGAGCACATGACTGGGAGCAGGTTAGCAGCAAACCCTGTGAGTGACCCCGTAGGGGCAACCTCAGGGGCCACGATCAGGTGAAGGGCCAATGAGGGCAGACTGGACTTCTCTGAAAAAGCCCCTTAATAACTGAAGGCACTGAAGCCACAGAATATCTCTTTCCTGGAATGGGGGGCTTGGTAACGGACTTGGTGGGCACCAAAGGGAGGCCTGTGAGGGTGTGTGTGAGGGGCCTCTGGAGAGTAACAGCGAGTGGCCCTGATGGTTGAACTCAGCATAGAAATCAGCACGCCTCTCAGGCCCCTCACCTCAATCCTTCCTTCGCGGTCTTGGAATCATTCCTGGTGCCCCATGCCTCAGCTTTTTGCAGCACCGGCTGAGAACATAGCACGAAGACAGTTCCTCAAAACTGTCTCCTCGCCCAGCCGGCGTGGCTCAGTGATTGAGCATCGACCTATAAACCAGGAGGTCACGGTTTGATTCTAAGTCAGGGCGCATGCCCGGGTTGAGGACTCGATCCCCAGTGTGGGGCATGCAGGAGGCAGCCGACCAATGATTCTCTCTCATCATTAATGGTTCTATCTCTCACTTCCTCTCTGAAATCAGTATTCTATATAATTATAATAAACGCCTAGGTGGCATCACAAGATGGCCACCACAAGATAGCCAGCAGGGGAGAGCAGTTGGGGGCAACCAGGCCTGCAGGGGAGGGCAGTTGGGGGTGACCAGGCTGACAGGCAGAAGCAGTTAGGGGCAATCAGGCAGGCAGGCAGGCAGGCAGGTGAGCGGTTAGGAGCCAGCAGTCTGGATTGTAAGAGGGATGTCTGACTGCCAGTTTAGGCCCGATTGGCCTACACCGGCAGTCGGACATCTCCCAAGGGGTCCCAGATTAGAGACCGTGCAGGCTGTGCTGAGGGACACCCCCCATGCATGAATTTCAAGCACTGGGCCTCTAATTAATATATATATATATATATATATATATATATATATATATATATATATATATATATATATATTAAAAAAAAGAAGAAGAAGAACTGTCTGCTCCACTGTGGCAGTGTACCTGCTGTTGACCAGTGGGGTCAGATCACACCCGGGTTCCGCAACCTCAGTACTTAAGTTCTGGCTAGGAAAGAATTCAGAGCCAAGAAGAAATGGGCTTAGGAAGCCCAACTGGCGTGGCTCAGTGGTTGAACGTTAATCTATGTACCGGAAGATCAGGGTTTGACTCCCAGTCAGGGTACATGTCTAGGTTGTGGGCTTGATCCCCTAGTGTGGGGTGTGCAGGAGGCAGCTGATCAATGATCCAATCATTATTGATCTCTCTCTCTCTCTCTCTCTCTCTCTCCATTTCTCTCTGAAATCAATTTTTAAAAAAGAACGGGCTTAGGAAACAAGTTATAGAAATAAAGGAAGGGCCCTTGGAGCATGGGAGTGAGGAAGGTGATGGTAAGGCACCTGGGGGAGGGGGAGGATAGGAGGACAGGCTGGAGGGAGTGAGCTGGGTCCTTCTTCCTAAGGGTTTTTAAAAAATATGTTTTTATTGATTTCAGAGAGGAAGGGAGAGGGAGAGAGAGAGAGAGAGAAACATCAGTGATGAGAGATAATCATTGATCAGCTGCCTCCTGCACGCCCCCCACTGGGGATCAAGCCCACAACCCGGGCATGTGCCCTTAACTGAAATCCAACCCAGGACCCTTGGGTCCGCAGGTTGACACTCTATCCACTGAGCCACACCAGCCAGGGCCCTAAGGGTTTTTGTTTCGTTTTGTTTTTAATATATTTTTTATTGATTTCAGAGAGGAAGGGAGAGAAATAGAAACATCAATGAAGATAGAGAATCCCTAGGGATTCTAGGGATTCTAGGGATTGAGCTCGCAACCCAGGCATGTGCCATTGACTGGAATCGAACCTGGGACCCTTCAGTCTACAGGCCAACATTCTATCCACTGAGCCAAACCGGCAAGGGCGGCCCGAAGGGTTTTAAGGGTGGAGATGTTAGGGAGGTCCCAGGAGCAGATCTTAATAGAATATTCAGCAGTTTCCCGGGTGTGTCCTTTCAGGGTCTAGGTCTCCAGTGATTGATGGGTTGGTGCCTGGGCAGGGGGTCATTACCCAGTGCAGCTGGTCCTGACGTCAACTGTGCCTGGTTTTGCTGTTTTTCTGGGCCTGGAGCTGAAATACAACGGAGGCCTAGATGTTATCTCTAGGGAGGACAGGCCAGAGGTTCCAAACCGTGTGACCAGAGATATGCTAGGGGAGGAAAGGTCATCTTGGGGGTGAGGTCCTCCTTACAATGGTCCTTTGTTGGGTCCTTTCCGCCCTGGTGACCTCTGCACCTGGCCCATCGCCCTTGCTCTGCTCATGTCTGTCTAACGGCCCACCACATACCTATTCTGCAGGGTTTGTGGCCACAGGCTTTGTGATAACTGGCTGCATGGAATCCGGTCTCACCGACGTTCTCACATGTTGACCTGACCTCTCTGACCTGACCTCTGACCCTGCTGAGAGGAACTCCTATTCATTTCCTGAAGATGGTTAGGCTGATGAGAGGGGTAGCATTTTCTGGCT